ATTCAAACCCAGTAGCTCTGATACCAAATTGTAACGCCCCAAAAAAAAAATTGGGCATGATATATCTATTTATGCAACAAAACCCACCTGATAGACACACACATACACACATGTATATAGCTAACTAATCCATACACTTATTTCTATTAAATCCCAAATGCCAAATACATGTTGTTCTCATCTCAATGCTTCAGTTCTAATCCCAAACATGCATTTTACAACAAATATGAAATGGAAGCCAAACAGATAATAAGTGCCCTACAGGCTTACAAATTTATCCAACAACATTCTTGGTTATACAAAATGGAGTTTCAACTCAACACAAATATAGCCCTTGGCTTACAAAACAGAGTCACGCAAAATGAGAGCATTGTACTCCCAACACACATACTTCCACGCCACTAGTTGGGTGGAATCATCATATCTTTTCCTACACAAAAATCTTGTAGGGTGAGCATAAAGCCCAGTAGAAAATTCTTAACAAAGTATATACATTTTATACAAGTCTCAAGAGATGAAATGCACATGCCAGACTATGCCCTTTTTGAAGATAAATTACATTTTTCATCTTTTGAAAACCATCATGCTCAATGATATCATACAATTTCAATTGTTCAAAACTTAACAATTTATTTCAAGGGTGGTAAATACGTCTCTAGTAATCCCTAGGCCGGTGTCTACAAGTAGACTATATGAGTACTATCAAATTGTCATTTTTACTGGTATTAACCGAAAGGCTCAACACCTATCCGCGCGAATTTTTCGGTCTTTCACTCCGGACCCGCAGGCCCACTTATTCTACACCACCTATTAAGACTTACCAACATATTTACCCCAAAACCATTTCATGAAAACTTATTTCTCAACATTCTTTTCTCAATGCAAGTTTTCAAATCAACCTTCAAAGTCTAATGTAATAAAATGAAATGATATTCCAATTTCACAAGATAAACATAAATACTTTTATTTCAATTCATCATCCAAGGAATAACACAATTTCCTCTTCTCAAGTATTCTCAACAGTTTAGTCATTTCAAGACTATATCAACATTCTGAATAACCATTTCTAAAATGAACAACAATTCTCATAATCCACAAAATTAATCATTTACACAAATATAAATAAGAAATTTTCTAAATAGTATTTATTTTGGCACACAAAATTAAATATAACAATATTACCTATGGACTTTCAATGTCTTTTAAAATCCCCAATTTCTAGGTTTTCTCACCAAACTACACAGTTCAAATCTTTTGAAAGACAACTCTCGAAAATCATCTTTTCTTCAATCAACAAAGATCAAAACCCATGAGATTATTTTAAAAGAATAAGAGACAAACCCACTTTCAAAATCGCTCAACTTCTTAAATCAAAATAAATTTTCAGAAGCTATCAAAGGATGATTTTGAAAGCCATCTAGATCTTGCAAAAATATATATATATAACTCAAAAAAAATCCCTACCTCAAGTTTTGAAGAAGAAATGAGATGAAACCCCTAAAATTAACGGTGTCAAAACTCAATCTTCATCGCACGGAATGAAGCCCTCAAGGTGATGACCAACTTTGGTGAAAAACTAAGGCTTAAGTCCCAAAAGATTTGGAGAAATCAAAGAGAGAAAGTGACTTTTAGAGAGAGAAGCTCTAGGTCAGGATAGAGAGAGAGGGGGCTATAAGGAGTGATATGAAACCCTAATTTTATGGACTGATATAACATGATCCGTTTGCGCGTGGAAAGCCCCACTCGAGCGTCAAATACACTTTTCTGTAAGCAATTTCGAATGCACTTTGCTTTCGGGTCAAAATCGACCCCCGTAAGTTGACTGAGTCAAAATCGATCCTCAACCTGCCCAGTCGAAGTGGAAAAACATGAAAGAAGGGTCAAAACCGGAATCGCTACAAACACCCCCTATAATATTCATTTTGCCCCACCATGGGATTAGCCACCCCTTCTATCTAACAATAAAAAATAATCCTCCCATCCCATTTTGTCCAATGCCATATCTTACTGATTTTTGGGTGTATTTGACTGTATTGTATATTACTGATTTTATTTTCCCCATTATGTTAACCACTGAAAAGTTTGGTTAAACTTAGTAGGTGTTTGGGAAGTGGGTTTTTATGTAAGTTTTTCTAGTTGTAGGATATTATTGGATAAAAAATTTTTAGTGTTTGGAAAGATAGTTGGATTTTTTTGTGGTTGGATGTGATGTTTGTGAGAGAAAAAGTGAAATGATTATGGGGTTGGATGTGATATTTTGTTTGGATCTGCTTTTTTTGGTTTTGCAAAACTTTTGTCTTTTTGTGGAAAAAATGAGAAAAAAATTTGGGAACCAAGTTCCCAAACACCACTTTAGTAGTTCCATGAATGGTGCCTCTAGGAATGGATTCACATTATTCACATTATGCAGGTCATGAGGAGAATTGGCTTAAAATACTCATACTTGTGCATTTGATATTTGCTATTCTTATGTTGTTTGTTTTTCCTTTTTAAATTACAGTAGGATATTTATGGTCTGTATCATTGTGGACATTTAAAAAATTGGTTTTTGTACCTGTTATTTACATTGTGAACATTTAAAAAATTGGCCAACATCAACACTGATTGTAATAGTTTAATGACGAGAAATTATTTTTGCAGATGTCAAGTTCAAGTGTCAATGGTAGTAGTTCAGATCGGTTGACATACTTGAACAAAAATTGTCCGAGATGTAATAAGAAGGCCACTATTCGAATTTCCAAGACCGATCGAAATAAAAATAAGTTATTTTACTCTTGCATTGATTGTGGTAGTTTTATTGGATGGTGCCTTCCTATCAATTCAGAATGTAGAGGCTATGAAATTCCAAGACAAGCACAAGGAGAAATGCCAACTGTCAACGAACAACTTCAATTTATGACCGAACAATTACGATCTATTACCGAACACCAAAGATCGATGACGGAATTTTTGCAGATGTCAAGTTCAAGTGTCAATGGTAGTAGTTCAGATCGGTTGACATACTTGAACAAAAATTGTCCGAGATGTAATAAGAAGGCCACTATTCGAATTTCCAAGACCGATCGAAATAAAAATAAGTTATTTTACTCTTGCATTGATTGTGGTAGTTTTATTGGATGGTGCCTTCCTATCAATTCAGAATGTAAAGGCCATGAAATTCCATGACAAGCACAAGGAGAAATGCCAACTGTCAACGAACAACTTCAATTTATGACCGAACAATTACGATCTATTACCAAACACCAAAGATCAATGACAGAACAACTTCGAATTCAAAGCTCAAAAATGCAATATGTGTTGTTTGTGTTGATTGTAATTGCTGCGTTAGTACTTATGAAGATGTAATAATATATATATATATATATATATGCAACTTAGAAGTAGAACTAGAAGTAGTAGCATTAGAAGAAGTAGAAGTAGAGGTAGAAGTAAAAGTAGAAGTAGAGTGAACACTACTGTTTTACACTCAATATGTATTGTACCTTTTTTGAGTTTTGTTGGCTTCCAATATTGGTTATGTATTGCATGTGTTTGCCATTTGAGATGCTCTTGAATCTTTGATGTCAACAGATTGATGTTGAACACGTGTTAGCCATTTGAGATGCTCTTGAATCTTTGATGTTAACAGATTGATATTGAACACGTGTTTGCCATTTGAGATGCTCATTTATTTGAGTAGCATCACTGCCTTTACTCCTCGCAGAGTAATTCCAAGCCTGGGAGAATGATAGAGATCTTGAAGGAAGTAATAATTTGAGAGCTTAAAAGAAGACAAATTTTAATTTGTTTATGATTTTATCTATTATAGTTTTCTTAGGATTAGTTTTCCTTCCCTGCAACTCTTTCTTTTCCTTATTGGTTCTATACCATCTGGAGTATCAAAGCTGAATGTGTTGTTCCTCTGGGCAAATGTGAGTCATACTAGGAAAATTCATGAATTCAATGAGTTTGTATCATCCATATAAATCTCATCCAATACCAAACTAAAAGATAATCTGGAACTCAATCTTCATATCTATAAAGTGGAACATTTCTTCGAAATGGCACATATTTCAGAATTTGGACATGGAAATTTTAATTTTGTTATCATCAAGAACCACATGCTCCACATCAGTAATCGCTAAGAATCTATCTTATTTCAGGTTAGCAGAATCATCTCCTTCTAAGCATAGTCGTGCTATGCTCCCACATCAGTTATCATTATACCTTAATGCAGCAAAACCACAGATGCTATGCTCCCTCTAAGCATCAACCAGAATGGACATAAAATTCCTCTCACAGAAGCCATATTTCACAATTTAACAGCCAGTGATGTAACATGCTCAATACAAGAGCATTATTATCAATAACACTAGGGTAAAGCTCTAGACAAACCAACCCTACTTTACCACCATATTTCCATCTAGCTTCAAAGAAGACGCAGCTTAAAGACCACTGCCCAATTAAAAAATACTTCAGCAAAATATAAACTTAATTTCATTAACTTTTTACTCCATGAACAGGAACAATAAAATAATGACCATTGCCCAATATGATGAGACAAAGGGTCAACAACTGTTACACTATGCATTCGAATACAGGCATGCAATGCAGAATTCACAAATAAATTGTTAAACCGATTCAATTGAAATTGGATCTATCATATCCCCAGACTCTAAATAGAGAAGGTCATCACAAACACCCAAATCCTATATGCGCATACATATGAGAGCTGCTTTCAACAGAAAAGGTGTTTCAACAGAATTTTAATGTAAGAGCAGAGAACATGCATGTAAGTATATAAGTCATCAAAAAAGTGCTTAAACTGTTGTGGAACACAGGAATCATCTCAAAAAATGTCCCAACTTGCAGGACCCAATCATGGAACTACAAACTGAAATTGCAGGACCCAATTTGTTGTCAATGCTGCAGAGAGAGAAACACAAGTCTGGTCCAGAGGCAACAACAGTTAAGTCAGGCCCTCAAACAAAATGTAGTAATAGATCAACAACAGAGCCAGATTTTGGAAAAAGAATGTAGTAATTTATCAACATTTCCAGCAGATTTACAATCTTTCCCTGATTTCAACTATATTGTACTCATGTCTGCTACTTTTCAACAGCATTATCCTTGATTTTAAATAAAGTTTCAACATCACAGCTGGCAATGTTGTATCAACACAAATCAAACAGAATAATGATTAGTCTTAGTATTCATTGGTAATTAATACGTAACATCTTTTACACATCTAATGTGGGACTTAACATAATAAGTTCTAATCTCAAAAACTAATTGAAAAGTTCAATAAACAAATCAAACATATCTATAATGTACATCATTCATTCCCGGTGTGCATGCATTAGAACCAAAAATTTGAGTTGGTGCACTCATCAAACTTCCCGGTGTGCCTCGTATTAACTCTGATGGGGTAACAGATGTGCCTCCAATAGCATTTACCACCTGTGATAATTGAAGTTAAAAAGTAGATGTTACAAAAATAAAATTTAAAATGAAAACAAACAATTCATATAAGGTCGTCTTATCAATACGTACCGGTACATACATACTATTTTCCATGCCACCCACATAAGGATAATACAATGCATAAGCTTGAGCTTGAGCTTCAAATCGAAGCTCCTTAGCAGCCTACATTTTCGCAAGAATGATTAATGATTGAATTGCTATAATGTAAAAAACAAAAATAAATAACAAGTTCAATTGAATATACACTTTACCTTTGCTTTTGTTTGTTTTTTTGCCGTTGCCTTGAACCGATTGACTATTTGATCTACTTTGGCAACCTTTCGTTTTGTAATTGGACGGCCTCTTCGCCGAGCAACCAAAGGACTAATCACCTTCCTTGTAGAAACACAATTGCAGAACTGGTGGCAATCAGACTTTTTGTACAAGATGGTATGAAAGTAGTACAAGCTTGTAAATTACTCCCATCACCAGATTCATCTTTCATGACTCTATCCTTAATTTGATCCAACCCAACGTCTATCATTTTAATTTTCCCATCACAGTTACCAGCAAGTTGTAAAATGCCAGTCAATTTCTTGTTCATTCTCTCATAACAACTTGCATTGAAATCACCTCCAAAGTCACTGTATGTGGTTTTAATGGATGTGTACTCTCGAACCAAATCTTTTCTCCACTGTGGCAGAATGTATTTGTTTGGCACCTCATTTATGCACCTTCTCACAAGCACAGCGAGTGAGTGAGCACACACAATGCCTCTAAACTCAAACAACCGACACATACATTGAACTTCACATTCGATTGAATTAAAATATACAACAAAGTCCACATGCTTCATCTTCTCACAAACTACCATCGCTTCTTGGACATTATATGTACAAATTGATCCCTCCTCTTTGACAATCACCGCCTGACAGTAAACTAATCTCTTCAACTCTCCTTGAACTTCTTTGAATTTTGCATTAGTGTATGCTTGCTGAAATTGCTTCTCAAAGCCATGTATAGTTAGGTAATCAAACAATTTGTGTCGAGACTTGAAGTCTGATTTCTTCTCTTTCTCTACCTTGCTTCTCAATGTATTGTCATATTGTTCAACAAATTGTTTTAATGTAGTCTTCGGGTTGACATATCCATCAAAAAATGCATTCATGCTTTCACTTCGTTGTGTAGTTGACATGCCAGCCCAAAATATGTCTTTAACATATACAAGAACCCATCGATGCCGCTCATCATATAGTACCCCCAACCAGTCATTATCATAAAGATTGAATCTTGTAAGCATCTGTTCCCATTGATTCTCAAATTCATCTCTTGTCAAACAGTCATAAATTGCATTTTGCATAGCCAACTTTATGCGCTCATACTCAGCATATCCTTTCAACTTCTCTAAGATTTTCTTCATTATATGCCATAAGCACTATCGATGTCGAGCCTGTGGAAATACAATATCTATAGCATTTTGCATAGCTCTGCACTGATCAGTTATGATAGCTTTTGAATGACGATTTGACATGCAACTTAACCACGACTTAAATAGCCAAACAAATGTGTCAGTGTCTTCACTAGATAACAATCCACACCCAAGTAAAATGGACTGTCCATGGTGATTAACTCCTACAAATGGAGCACATGACATGTCATATTTGTTGGTCAGATAAGTCTTGTCAAATGAAACAACGTCTCCAAATGCTTCATAAGTAGCCCGACTCCTTGCATTAGCCCAAAACAAGTTTCTAATGCGACACTCGTCATCAACATCAATCACATAAAAGAATTTCTCACTATGTGGTTGCATTCTCATATAATAACTTTGAAGTGATTGGGCATCACCTTCCCCAAGCCTCAATCTTCTAGCTCTATCAATGTAATTCCTTGCATCTCGCTCATCAAATGTCAATGACTCGTACCCCCCCCTCCCCCCCGCTTCAACAACCATTGAATGATAGTTCCTAGACACCCCAATCCCCGCTTCATCATTAATTTCTAATCGTCTCTTCATAGGAGTAAGAATTTTCTTATTCATTGCAAAATGACGTGAATCAGTGGGAATCAAATCATGATTATGCTCAAGGTTAACTGTGGTTAACATATATCTCCCATCCTTTTGTAGACTACCTTGTACCCTTGCTTTGCAACCAATTTTTGTTGACAAAGATGGCTTCAAAGGGTTCACTTTTGATTTTTTTTTCCTCTCCCCCGCTCGAGAACATTCAATTGCAAAGTTTTTTAATTGCTCATCATCTCCAAAATGTTGTGCTCTACAAGCTATAGAAAATCCAACATGCTTAGCATATTTTCCATAAAATGTGTACACTTCTTCCTTTGAGCTAAAATACATACCCTTCTTAGGTTCTTCAACTTGTTCACCCTCATTTACTGAAGGATTGTTACCACCATTTGAATCAACCTCCATTCTTCCACTTTGAAAAATGAAATTGAAATAGAATGATTTTAGAATGATTTCAATACAACAGATCATTAAATTGTCCAAATAACCCAAACATCACTGAAAATTTGCCATTTTTCTGCTATGCAGATCATAGAACAAATTAGAGTGAATATATTATTTCTGATATGCAGATCATAGAACAAATTAGTGTTCTCCAAGCCTCAATCTGCTATGCAGATCACAAAACAAGTAAGCTATACAGATCATAGTATTTGACAGAGTGTACTATTTCTGATAACTTTGTTTCAGAAAATCAGTGTTGCCACACTGAACAAATTATTTCTGAAAATCAGTGTTAAATGTATAATGTTGTGAGGCTACAAAACAAATTAGTTCTGTTATACTTCTACTGTATAATACAGAACAAATCAGTGTTGCCATACTTCTACAGAACAAATCAGTGTTGAATGCATAATGTTGTGAGGCTACAGAACAAATTATTTCTGTTATACTTCTACTCTATAATACAGAACAAATCAGTGTTGCCATACTTCTACAGAACAAATCAATGTTGAATGTATAATGTTGTGAGGCTACAGAACAAATTATTTCTGTTATACTTCTACTCTATAATACAGAACAAATCAGTGTTGCCATACTTCTACAGAACAAATCAGTATTGAATGTATAATGTTGTGAGGCTATAGAACCAATTATTTTTGTTATACTTCTACTGTGTAATATAGAACAAATCAGTGTTGCCATACTTCTACTGTCTCTCTAATGTGTTCACACTCGGCATTGCAGACATACACAGAGATTGCTAAATGTATGTATGTATGAAAGCGAGAGAGACATAGAGATAGAATAGGGGAAAAATATTACCTGACAAAATGCGATCAAAGATTAGGAGACCGAGAGATTGATGATGAATGGCGGGTAGACGGACTAGGGACGAATTAGAAGAGCGAGAGATAAAGACGAAGCGGATATGGCCGTCGATTTCTGAGAAATACAGCTATGGCGGACGGAGGAGGGAAGACGGAAGACGGAAGAGGGACAGAGCGATGAGCTACGGCGGACGGAGAGGGAAGAGTGAAAGTAAACGAGGGAAGAGTGAAAGTTAGGGCGCCAATGTTTTTGTTTTTTTTTGTTTTGTTTTGTCTTTTTTTTTTCCACAGGTGCGTGTATCACACCCATCACAGTGCAAGTATTCTTCACCATTGCTAAACCAGTTGCCACGTTAGTGGGGGTTCCGGGGGTCGAATTTGGAAGGGGTCTGAATCGGAACTGTACGTGGTTTTAGAAATTATATCTCGTTTCTTTAAATTTTCGATCATATAAAAAATTATCTAGTTAATTAATAATTTTTAATGATGTCAAAAATAAATTTTGATTAACAATCCAGATAATGTTATTGTGAAATAGAGGAGTAGTTAGGAATTTTATTTTTTCTGTTAATTCTATTAAATAAAAAATTTTAATAATGAGATATTTGTAATTTTTAAAAATAAAAGGACAATTTGTATTTTAAGTAAATTTTAGAGAGTTTATTTGTAATTTATCCAAAGAAGAAACAAAAATTCATTTTTTCTTCTTCTTATTATTATTATATGGTGGGGTGATGGGAACATAAACTTTTTTTTTTTTTTTTTTGATTCATTAAATGGATATGCAGATAGACTATTCCAACATATTCACTCCACTTCACCCCCTACCAGCACCACCACAATCTGCTACCTTCTCTTCTATATATAGGAGTTGTAATCAATATACAGATACACAACAATCTTGTAATATATCAATCAAAACATCAATCAATAATATACATCAATTTATCTTACAGTCCCTTAACACCTAAACTTATGTCGTCGTCCGGGCCGAAACTTAGGCCCTCACATGCTCTAGGCGCAAAAAAATATATTTAACCCAACAAAAAGTTATGGAGACTTGAACTCAAACTTTGAGAGCGAGGAATTCGAAAATTTTATCCACTAAACCAACCCCCAATTGTTGATGGGGAACATGAGCTCTACGTGAAAGCAATCCTGAGTATAAAAGTATTACACAATGGTGAAATTAGAAGACTTACCACATATTTCTAGTAATAATCGCTCTACCAAATTAGCTGTTTAATATTTGTCACATCATTCAACAAACACTTGAATTGCATTTTAAAATAGGAAACATTCCCGGCGGTTTAATGCTTCATTTTAAAAAATTCAGTTTCAATGATTGCAAAATTAATTCGATTGTCAAAGCGTAATTTTGGTTAGTTTACATTAAATTATATTGAACAAGTGGTTAGGGCTTCATTAAAGAAGCTCAAATGACTTTGGCAATGTGCCATCTTGCCATAAGGCGATTTAGGCTAAATGCTTCATTTTAAAAAATTTAGTGACAATGATTGCAAAATTAATTCGATTGTCAAAGCGTAATTTTTGTTGGTTACATAAATTATATTGAACAAGTGGATGGGGCTTCATTAAAGAAACTCAAATGACTTTGGCAATGTGCCATCCTGCTACAAGGCGATTTAGAAAATTGTGTTTATATTTTGAATTTTGAATAAAATATAAATATATTTTTTTCGCTTTGCTTAAAATATAGATTATTTTCTATAATTTTAAAAATTATTTGAATTATTAATTAAAAAATATTTATGACATTATTAAAATTGTTAATTGACTTGATAATTTGTTAATAAAAAGAACTGTTTGCTATGCAAGTATAAATTTAAAGGGACGAGATGTCATTTTTAAAATCACAAAAGATAATTTGTATCTTAAATAAATATCATAAGATGTATTTATAATTTACTCTTGAATTTTTATAAAAATTTGTAAAAGAGAAAGAAAATTGAGAAGAGACATGTGAATTGAAAATTGACCTAAACTGTTAGCATTACCAGCGGTAATATTGAAGAAATAGGTACTTCAATGTAGGAGTAAAAAAATGGCCCGCAGTCCAGGGTGGGCCCGGCCCGTTTAGGCCCGTTTGGGCCCTGGCCCAAGCCCAACTCGTGACCCTAGGCCATCATTTTGTAGCCCCGCCCATCGGCCCGCTTAAGTCCTGCTCAAGGCCCGGCCCAAAGCCCGGCTTGCCCGAGGCCCAGTGTCTTTTTTTGTGAAAAATAATAAAATTTTGATAGAAAAACTTTAAAAAAGAAAAAAAAAATCTAATTTTTTAGCCCGTAAGTCGGTCCGGTCAGGCCTGAATTCTGGCAGGAGCCCGCGAAGCCCGACATGGGCCAGGCCGGGATAGATTTACACCCCTACTTCAAGGTAATGTCTCCACTGGTTCGTTGGAATTAGACGAAAGAGAAGTGTTTGAGTGTGTAAGGTGTGTATCTTATGTACTTGTGTAAATTCTCATAAATATACATAACTACCTCACAAATCCGTATAAATTCTCACAAATATACGTAAATTGTGATTTTTAAAATTTTTATGAGTTAATTCACGTATGTTTGTGAAAACTTAAATAATTTTGTGAGGTAACTTGCATATATTTGTGAGAACTTATACAAACATATATGGTATGCATTTGCACACTTAAGAATTGCCCTAGATGGGATGGAATGGAATGTTGATCCCTTAGGTTTTACTATGGAATGGTCATTCTCTTAAAGATGATTCCATTTGTAAACACATTTGTTATTATATTTTTGGTCTAACAAAAAATAAAAATAAATATTTTGATAGAATGATCATTCCATTTCATTTCAATGAACCGAACACAGTAATACTCATGCATTTTGGGTTGTGGATTTGTACTCCCTGTAAATGTAGGTGATTCTATTTATACCAAAATAATAACTCAATACGCTTAATTAAAATTTTAAAAATTTGATTTCTATTATATCGTAATGTAAATTTATGAAGAAGAATAATACATATTAAATCTTAAAACAAAATATTATTTTTTTCTCATGGTTCCTCCTAATTACTTATATGTATTTTAAATATTCAAATCTCTTTATCTTTTTCTCCAAATTTTAATTATTTTTTCTTCAAATTCGTGCTCATTTCAAAACTCCAATCAAATCAACTTTCTCACTTTGGAAAAGTGGTTTGGAAACCATTAATAGGTGAATGGGGAATTGACTCCAGCGTTTGATTTCTATTATATCGTAATGTAAATTTATGAAGAAGAATAATACATATTAAATCTTAAAACAAAATATTATTTTTTTCTCATGGTTCCTCCTAATTACTTATATGTATTTTAAATATTCAAATCTCTTTATCTTTTTCTCCAAATTTTAATTATTTTTTCTTCAAATTCGTACTCATTTCAAAACTCCAATCAAATCAACTTTCTCACTTTGGAAAAGTGGTTTGGAAACCATTAATAGGTGAATGAGGAATTGACTCCAACGTGCACTATTTAAGAATGATTTTAAGATAAAATTTATTTAATTTAAAATTAATTTCTATTTAAACAAATTTGTTATTTATTTTTGTCAAAATTAAACCAAATTTGATATAAAATTTGAACATCTATTACAACTATTCATTGAAAGAACTGCCTCTCTTCATCAAAAAGTCATCACGATTATTCAAAGGGTCACCAATTTTCTTATATACCCAAGTCCCCATTACATATTCCTCAAAAAGAAAAAAAAAAAAGTTCCCATTGCATTCATTAAAACAATTGAATACATCTTTTGAGATTTACTTAAAATACAGATTATTCCTACAGTTTAAAAAATTACAAATACTCCCTTGTTATAATTTTTTATTTAACAAAATTGACAAAAAAAATTCGTAATTGCTCTCCTATATACAAAATAATAAAATTACTTAAATTATTAATTGAAACATATTTCTAGCATCATTAAAAATTATTAATTGACTTGGCAATTTATTAATAAAAAAGATTATTTGTTATGAAATTAAAAATTTCAAAGGATAAAATATAATTTTTAAAATTATGAGAATCGATTCATATTTAATCAAATCTTAAAAAGTATATTTATAATTTATCCTCTTGTTATAATTTTTTATTTAACAAAATTGACAAAAAAAAAAAATAAAATTCGTAATTGCTCTCCTATATACAAAATAATAAAATTACTTAAATTATTAATTGAAACATATTTCTAGAATCATTAAAAATTATTAATTGACTTGGCAATTTATTAATAAAAAAGATTATTTGTTATGAAATTAAAAATTTCAAACGATAAAATATAATTTTTAAAATTATGGGAATCGATTCATATTTAATCAAATCTTCAAAAAGTATATTTATAATTTATCCTAAATTATATTGAAACAAGTGGATGGGGCTCATTAAAGAAATTCAGAATCCGTCCCTGTGTGGCTTATTTATAATTTATCCTAAATTATATTGAAACAAGTGGATGGGGCTCATTAAAGAAATTCAGAATCCGTCCCTGTGTGGCTTCTTCATCAAGAAAGTCAAACGTCTCCACTAGCCTCTCATGTTATATAAGGTGATTTACAGGATTGTGATTGAATCATAAATTTGTGTTAAAATATATATAAATAAATAAAAAAAATTGAAAAAAGATTTGTGAATTAAATAAAAAGTGAATTTTGTTTCATTTTATTTTCCTTTCACACAAATTTATTGAGATCCAAACTCAATCTAATATCACATATTTAGTCAACCGACTGCTATGCCAAATTTCTTAAACCAAAAATAAAAAATCAGAATTCTCTCTTTTCTTTCTTTATCATTATTTTCATAAGAAAAATGCTTGGGAGCACTAATTAGTGCTCCCACTAATTAGGTGGCAGTGGGTCCCGTCATTAATGATATTGAGAGGGTAATTTTTGAGAAAAATTGGGCCGAGCTGCAAGTTGGGCTTTGAGGCCCAAAACGCGAAGGACTAAGTAAGAAGGCCGTAAAGGATACTCCGACCCAGGAGAGCAGTATTACTCCGGCCCAGGAGAAGCGTAGTTACTCCGGCTGGGAGAAGTAAAAGTTACTTCGGCTCAGGGATGTAAAGCTACTCCGGTCCGGGGTGGCTTCTAGTTAAACCGATCTCAGAGATAGTCCGGTTATAAGTTATTCCGGTCAGATCAGTCGGAATGTTATTACTTGGTAAAGCGGTTCAAACGTACCACGGTTCATGTATGGGAGAACCAAT